TTGGCGAAAGGTTGTGGTGGTGGCGGGGAAGTGGAAGGGGAAGGTTGGTTCTTGGCCGAGGGTAGATGTTGATGTACGTTTTCTAACAATTATCCTAAATTTATTTTTAAACGTAATTTATATGTTTTTTAGAGGTGAAATAAACCTTGTTGATTGGTTTTGCAGAATGTATACTTTCCCTCTATCATAAGTGTAATTTAAATTTGTTCAATCGGATAATTCAACTTTAATTTGATTTCAATAGTTAACTACTCTTCAATTTCATTTCAATTAAGATAACTTCGTCCAATTTCATTTCAATTAAGATAATATGACAGTCAATTATTAACATTACACGTAATGATTAGTTGTTGATATGAAATAAGTACAACTTCAGCAAAGTAATTTATGACCTTGATTACAACATCATTGATTTCCTTCAATAAAAAAATGACAAAATATAACAAATATGTCAAACTCTTAGTTTTTATAAAAAATACGTGACTTCTTTTCGTGGGGAATCAGATAGTGAGATTAACTATCAGTGAGCTCCTTATGAATAAGAAATGACATTTGGTATCACGGAGTATTTGGAAAATTTTAGTTTTGAATTCAACCAATTGTTGGCTGGCTTGAGAATGTAAAGTGGTATGCAAATATTGTATCTTTTGTAGCTATGAGTTGATGCTAAACTTGACATGATCAAGAATAAAAATAACTTCATTGAAAAACTATGGTATTATTTCACCCAATTGGGCAAAGTTTTGTTTTAGTACTTCATCTTTTTGAATTTTTCAGCTTGGTTACTGCAGTTAGTAATGTGTTTTAGATACATCAGTGTCAATTCAATGAATAATTCTTAACACCTCATTCTATGTGGCAAATGGTTCTTGCTTATCAGAATCCTAATTAATGGATTTCTCGATTTGAAAAATGACTATAAGAGGATTGAAATAACTCTTTTTCAATTACGATAAAAGTTGATTTATTGTACATTTTGTTGTAATTCTATAATTCAAATTATCATTTCCTATATGATCCTTTTTGAGTTCAATATTTGAAGTTGCTATCAACTCTATTCATTAAAATGAATCGATTTAATACATTTATTGCATCTATGAGTGAGCTCTTTCAATGGAGGCTTATTTTAAGCAATTTGTCGTATGGCTTCAAAGTAAGGATTAAATATTCAAATGATCATTGAACTTTGAACAATATTTTTCATTTGTCATTAAACTTCAAAAAAAAAAAAAAAAATTGTATGGTCACCAAACTTATCAAATCGATATCTCATTAACCTTTAAATTTTAATATTTTTTCGGATGATCATCGAATTTATACAATCATTATTTCATAGGCCATTAAACTTTAAAAGTTTTTTTTTTTTTTCAGATAATCATTGAATTTATTGATTGTTATTCCATTCATCGATCAATGACTCACCGTAAAAAAATTCAAAGAACTCACTGACGAGCAGACGAAAATATTGATATGACATATTATTAACATTTGTTAACAACAAATAAGTCAAAAACGCGCTTAATAAAATGAAATTAATGGAAAAATAAAAAATAATTCTAAAATAAACAAAAAAAACATGCAAATGTTAAGTTTCAATCACATTTTTATAAGGGTGCGTTTGATTGCAATAGTGGGAAATGGGTGGAAAAAAAATGTTTTACAGGGAAAAGATTTGCCTATAAAATCTTTTGTAGGGAAAATGATTTCAAGTGTGTTTGATTGGTATAATTTTCCACCCGAAAATTTTTTAAATTTTCTATTCGTTTGGCTTTGTTTTACATGAAAGTTGTCCATTAAAGCGATATTTTTCCACAATTGATTATAAAATTTGTTTC